TGACAACTTCACAATTTTAATTTTAAATTTAAATGTGCATAAGAATTTTTTTTCATGTTGTTAGGTTGATCGTATGTGTTCATTTTTTTTTTTTTAAATAGTAAAATGGCCCTCGAGAGACTGGACTGACCACAAACCATCACTATTTTTGTCCGACCCCCACTAAATCATCACACATTTTTAATAGAAACTATTAGTATAAAACAGTATTTTTAACTATTTAATTTTAAAAAGTATACATTAACCACCACCCCAAGTTCGTGCCCCTCCACATCTTCCCTAGCGAGTGTAAAAATAAATTGTTCCCCTAAAATGAATGCAATATTGGGGTAGTCACTCTTCAAACTCTGCTCTTGCGGGTCTCTTTGCCTTGTGTCTCCCTCATTTGTTCTAACTGTTCGTCCCAACCCAGGCTGAAACCAAGTGAGATATCACATTCATGCGTGTTTTATAACCTGGCGGGATAAGAACAGACGCTACATCTTGATCTTAGGCTAAAGGCCGAGAGGCGATCGGATTTTTCTGGGATTATTCAGCCAACATCAATATAAAAAATCATTTTTATTTTTTTTTTTTGCAATATTATATATATAATTCGTTTTAAACACGCATAATGTTATTATAATATAATCATAATATGTTAATTGCAGATGGCTCCAACATTCATTCCATATTAAAGTTAACTAGGGATATAGGCCTACTACTATATTATATTCGTTTTTTTTTTATTTATACTGTTTTTTAATTATTTTTTTTTCAAATCGCACTGTTACATGCTGTGTATTCAAATTAAGTGGTTGGTTTGGATGGGGGGGTGGGGGGAGAGATTTAATGAAATTACCTTGGTATCTAAATTTATTTGAACTCAAACGATAAGCATCGTATTGTTACACCTTGATTTTACATGCGGTCTGGCAAGAATTTTTTTAAAGAAGAAAAACTAACCTAAATGAATTGTATTTTCTTATTTATTTATATTATTACATTATATCCTTGAGGAGAGGGGGTGGGGGTTTGCAATAGTGGTAGCCCTCGTGGAAAAAGGGTAAATTAAAATTATTTTAATATATAAATATATGACTTTGAAATTTTTTTCTCTGTTATTTTATTGAGATTACATACAATGTACGTAAAAGTCAATAAGAATCATTAATTGATAAAAGTAATATTTATTTATCATTTATTGTATAATTTATGCATATCCACATAACAATTAGAACACATAAAACTATTTTTTTTTAATTTTGTTTTACAGGTGAAATGTAATTTTTAAATGTTCAAATTTCATACATATATTGTTTTTGTTTTAGTAGTCTCCCTAATCAGTTGTTTTCCTGTATATTCGCGTCAGATGTGGGTAGAGGCGATTCTTTACTGTACCTGTTTTTTCATTCTTACTAAAAAAATTACGTAGAAATGAAAAGTATAACTATTTACCGAGTGATCCCCCGCCTAAGCTGAAACTAAAACTAAAAAGTACTGTTTGAAAAATCGTTTAAAAAAAAATGTTGATCACAGTATAAAATAGTCCGAATTTTTTGTTTTTCCTTTTGTCAGGCTAGGCTCATCATATGTGGATACGTGGGTCTTGACCAAACTTGGTCTACTTACCCTTTATTATTCAGAATAAAATACTGGTGGGATTTGATTTTTTTTTAAAAGAGTTTGTGTGTGTGTGTTTTTTTTTTGTTTTTTGTTTTTTTTTTGTTGTTGTTTTTTTTTTTTTTTTTTTTTTTTTTTTGTTTTTGTTTTTTTTTTTTTTTTTTTTTTTTTGTGGGGGGTGGGGGGTTCTTTCGCTGCCTGGAGCTCAAAATTATTTGCTTATTAAGTGATATAAAAATATAAATAAAAGATTATTCTTAAATCAATGCATCTTGAGTTCTTGACAAAACATTGCTTAACTTAGATTAAATTTTGGTGACTTTTATAATAACAATAACAAGAGCCACTCCTTTGGGTGGGGACCGCTGATAATGTTGCCATAACATAAAACTTACAGACAAATGAATAAATCCCCACAGCTTTTATGAGCAATTATACAGACATTTTTGTTTTTAAATACCAAACTACTGAAACTAGTGAACGAACCGAAATAAAATATGCCGTAAATTTGGCAACGGAGCATGTTTATGACACTATGTTATATGACTGACTATGAAGCAAAAAACCTATATTAAAGCATGAGTTTATTGTAAGGCGTTCTTATCAAATATTAATTTTATCTAGTATTAATTATTTTCAAGTTAATTATTGACAGTTATCTTTATACACCATGCATTACTGAAGTCCTTTAATTTTTATTGTGATTTAAAATACATTGTTAAAATGCGTTAATTAGGCATAGCCGGATTGAGTTAGTAAGCGTAGGCGGATTGAGTTTGTAGGCCTAGCCGGATTGTGTTAGTAGGCATAGCCAGATTGAGTTACTAGGCATAGCCGGATTGAATAGGCATCGCCGGATTGAATTAGTGGGCATAGCCGAATTGAGACTTGAGCTCTGAGGAAGTAGAAAAAAAGGATTGGGGGGGGGGGAGTTAGGTAACTACAACTAGAATTCAGCCAAGAACTGAAACTAGATTTCACCCAAAAACTACCCTAGAATTTTTAAGGCGCACTACAC